TACCGCTGTCGCCATCGTCTCGATTATGATGGGACCCACCCCCGCAACGCATCGTTTACGGAAACGTGAAGAGTCCTAATCATTCTCTGGCACTCTAACGTACGGTTAGCTCCAATAACATATTTGAGGCGTGAGAGTAAATTTAATCCTTATTAAACTAACAGCAAACAACGTTCTGCAAGTCCGCCGAAATAAATGACCTGTCCATAGATTTGTGTTAATTTCCAGTACCCCAAGGAGATAACTGATGCTTACAGAACAGAAACGCCGGCTTGCTAAACAAACGACAAGTCTTGTTGTTTTCGTACCACTGATCACCGTTTGACCATACTATATTCAGTAATGACACGATATTCGTACAAGTTACAGCAGATAACTATTGATTTGATAAAATCTGTACCTGTCATGAGCAGAAAAATGCAACGACAATCCATAAAACACTTCATCTTTGCAGAGTATCGTACCACAGCTAAAACAAAATCGACATTGAAAGAAAGCAACAGTATGAAATCTGCATAAAATGAAAAGTAGAAAAATACCGCTTTAAAACATGCTTTGCTTTTCAGATCAATTAAGCTTTTCCTGAAAGGAGTAGCGATCGCTAATTACAGTAAGCAGTATGTTCTAGAAGTCTGAAGGAAGAAAGGCATGCATTTGAAAATAGATATAAATTATTGCAGTAAACAGATGCTGTAAATTTATTATTTAAATAATTTAGAACGGACTGATGAGTGCCCAAGCACTTCCTAATCTGAAGCAGCGACCATTTATCTTATGGTGGTAAATCAAATTCTTTTAAAACTCATAACTGGGCCAATAGCAATCGATAAAACAATGAAAGGGCAGACAAGCCTGAAAATAGCGGAAACCTTTATCTACTAAGGAGCTTTCAAACCTGCCATGGAGTTCATGGTTTCGATTACATAATAAGCAGTTCTTAGTAGGAAGAAACAAGGCAACATCATATGAACGAGGTAGTACGCTATTTGCAGGAAAGAATTCTTTAAAATACTGAGCGATGGCAGGGGGCAAAGAGGTAGGATTCAAACTCAGAAGATGCGGGTTTGAATGCATAGAAGGGACTATATTTGCCTTAACCATGAATTCTTTTGAGCAAAAAACTTACGCCACGATGGTTCAGGGCAACAAGTTGAGGAAGGAGTAATAAGTCTATGACTTGCGAATAAAAAGGGCAGCATAATATTTTGGACTGGTAATACCAGAATAGAGGTGCACGGTCATGGCGTCTGATGCGAGCGCCTGCTATGGCTGCACTTTGCCTCGACCAATCTGACAGCTGATTATTAAGTGTGATAATCAACACAAGGTGTAACTCTGCAAAAATGAGAACAAGGGAAATAACGTAATATAAACAAAGTCGAAACAACTGTAAGGGAAGACAATGGCGCAGCAGCAGCGCTCATGCAGAACTGATTTTATGGGTTTATTTTTTGTGTTTTATCTGGTGCTCACTTGTTCAGTTATAACAACTACTGCAGCGTTGGATATTCTTCAGCAGACTAACGATATCGGACGAGGTAGTTCTTCATAACATGTAATTGAACCTTCCTCATCTACCTGCTATGGCAATTATCTATTCCCATAATCATTCTGAGCTTCAGACAGGTTTCGGAAAAAAACCTATAACCAGTACTAGCACTCGAGAAGGTCTAAAATCTCCGTCGCTGTGACTCAAAACAGAAAGTAACAACGATTTAGATTCCTTGTTTAGGAGAATAATCAACTAACACAAAATATTTTAATTCATTGTTCCGAATAAAAGTTTTCAATGTAAACGATAAAATCCATTAAATACTAAGTCCAACGACGTTTTGCAACCGCAAGTAGGTCGCTCAATTTTTGAAAAAAAATGTATGCAGAGATCATGTTTGTCATTAAGAGCAAAGAAGCGCGATCTGCAGGTATTCAATAAAAGATGAGTTCATCAGAACATTTTATTTCCAATTGTTATTGAATATTATTGCCACTTTCTTCTCTGCAACAGTTTCGACTCTGGGAAAATCGAAGGAACTCCGCCACTGCCGGTCCCATGTCCGGATGAAAAAGGAGGAGGGTTGGAGACCGTAGCAATTCTCCGTAAAATTCAGCTATCTGCCACTCATGGTATTGACGCCATCGAAAATTATACCGGCTCGGTCGTCGCCCGGGTTACTAAAGGCCGCGCAGTCTGTTGGGGGACTGACGCAGACTGCGAAAAGTAGGCGATCAGAACCTGCTCATTACCCTCTGCCAGCCGAGGGCGTGGCAGAACAATAATGGCTGACGAAGACCGACGGAATGAACGACGAAGATACCAGTCAGCAACGGAGTCGCTACCCGTTCTGAACGGGGGAGGCAGACAGCTGGATGCCATTATCGCACGTCAAGAAAGGCTCCATGAGAACGGCACGACCAGTGGGAGCTAAAAGTCGGAAATTGGAACATATCCTCACCCAGAGGAAAAGAACATGAGTTAGTTGATGAGGTCATGAAGTACCAACTCGGCATTGATGAGCTCTCGCCAACAAAGCGCCCAGGCTCTGGACTCCTGAGCATCAACGGATGGAAGCTGCTCTACTCAGGCGTCGATATCACCACTCGCGCTGAGGCCGGTGTTGGCGTTCTGGTAGAACCAAACGTTGCCGATAAAATAATCGATTGGAAGCCTGTCAGCGGAAGGGTGGTAATCATCCCACTGAAACTACAACAGGCTAAATCGATGATCCAGGTAAAGGTCGATACGCCCAATTCGGAGGGAGAATATGAGACCTTCCTTGAGGAAGTGTAGTGTACTCTGTCTGAAGCGCCGAATACAGAGTCCATCACACTGATGGGCGATTTCAACGCGCACGTCGGAGTAGACGCTGAAAAGTGGAACGGCGTGATTGGGAAAAACGGCCTTAGCGACCTCAACAATAACGCCATGAAGTTGCTGCGGTTTTGTGCAAACAACAGATTGTACATTATGAACACCTTCCACGAGCATCGAAGAGTGCATCAGCACACCTGGTAACGGGAAGCTTGTGCACGGAAGTCGATGATCGTTTTGAATAATCGTATCGTCTGACTTAAGACGCTCAGTAATGGATGTTCGTGTTAAAAGAGGCGCAGAGCTATCA